GAACAAATAGTCACAGTTACACAGCACCTCTGAGCAACACGCTTCCCCAACCCTGGCCGGCGAGGGTTGCTTGTGACAAGAATGCCATCAAGGTCTGTGTTCACCCTAGTGCTGGAGAATCCTCCCCTGACCAACAGTCCTCTTGGGCAGAGGGGCTGAGCAGACAGTCAGCCTGGTTCTTTGGCTTCACTTTGTGTCCCCAGATAGAGGCACCACTCTTCCAGACATTAGCTCACAGGGCAACCGGCCATTTTCCTCCCTTAAATTCACCACCTTACTCCAGGATATGGCCTTAAGATTGGTCTGCCAAGGACATTTCTTGGGGGTCTCTTTATCTATGTGCCCCTGGGCTACCATTAGACTGCCCAAAGGACATGGAAGCACAGCAGCTAGTGGCCAACACCTGGAGGACAGTCCAGCTCCATGGCTGGAAAGGATTGAGTTTCATGCCTGGACCATGTCTCTCCTATTCCAGGGCCAGATGGGTGAGGTGGCCAGAATGGCCCATTGCTCCCCAGAGCTGCCACTTTGATCTCTTTGGAAAAAACAAAGGGGTTGCAGATAGCTATGGGGTGTTGCTTTGTAACTGCATGGGACAAATGCCATCAGCCAGCCCACTGTATGCCAGCCAAGAAGAGAGCAGGCTGAGCACTGCAGAAGAAAAATCACCAGAGATATTTTTACATCAGCCATTTCTAGGGTATTGCCGCAGCCCACCTCTGTGCTTGCTTGCAACGTGAGTTGAAGCAGAATTTTCTTCCCCCAGCGCAAATTTTCTCACTGGCATCTCTGAAGTGCAAGTTGCCATGGAAACCATTTTGTCTGTGTCCCACGTTGCCCACATGCACTCGGAAGAAGCTGCAGAAGCAAAATGGCCGTTGTGCAATGCCGCAGGGTCTCAGCATATGAGGCGCTTGTGTGCTACACAGCACCCTTCCAGTTACGAGACCCTCTCAGAGAAACTGCGGACAATTGCTTGGGAAAGCAATGAAACTCATGGACGTTATGACGCGCTCTGTGAGAGAAGGAAAGCGGCCCCACCTCACCTTAACTCTTGCAGTGCTTTGCGTGGAGCTCCACACCGATCCTGCTGTGCTCTCAGCACAGTTTTCCAGGCATGCTTCACCCTTGCCAGTGTCACTGTGTCATTCCTCCTCCTCCATACACGGAGAGGACAGCCTTGCTGTACTCATGTGGTGCGGCTCTGTCCACCCCGAGAAGCCCAAGTGCTGTCTTGAAGGGACAAAGGGTGCAAGTTAAAGAGAGTTGCATCTATACCCTTAGACTGCATACATTTGACTTCATCCTGTCCTCTGCCTACTGGGTGCATTTGTAGCAGGCTGTTTGAGAAGAAACCATTTTGCAGTGGGCTATACAGACCCAGACCCTGGTGGGTGTGATGGCAGCAGAATAATAAAGGCAAGACCTGGCCACAGCAGGGGACTTAGCAGAAAAGACGAAGGAAAAAGGAAGGCTTTGAAATATTATTTGGCTTGCTCACATTGGAGTGAAGAAGGTCTATCCTCCTTATTATCTGGAGTTCCCTATCAAGAGGAAAAAGAGTGCAGTTACTGAGCCCCTCCTGTGTCACCCAGGAGTCTAGGGTGGTCATACTCAGGAGCCAGGGTCTTCTCTCTGTGCCTCCATTCATTATTTGTCTCCAGAGACTCTTGTTCCTGGCACCATTCTGGAGATCCGCAAAAC